GATTATTAAAATATATATATATATCGGATCAGAGTTCCACCGAATGGAAACGTACGTCCCAAATTCACTCTATTTGGGATGATATTAGCCATTATTTCCACAATAAACCTGAAATCGGATTAAGGATTTATATGGGAGCTATATCCAAGCCTGAATCGATCTTGATAAAAATTTGGCAGAGAAGTTTCTGGGATGTATCTGGTACCAAATATCATTCTTGTGGAGAGCATATTACGAATGTGAGGGACTTAAAGGCCAAATCGGATGAAACATACATGGGAGCTATAGCTTTATCTGAACCGATTTTCTCGAAATTTTATGTACTTGCTTCTAGGTTGAATTCGGTCGGATATGCTTAAATTCATTTGAACAGATATTAGCCATTTGGTGCACAATTAACCCGAAATCGATTGAAAATATACAGGCTGAGATGAAAAAACTGCAACCAACTTCAGACTGCTGTCATTTCAAAACCACTCGTCCGACAGCTGTTAAAATTTTTCCATTGACTGCTTATTATATTGTTTACAAGCGTACAAAAGCATTTTGGTGAAAGTTTTCCAGAAAAAAAGTTATTCGTGATGGAATTCAGACGTGATAGTGTGATCTATATATTTGGCTGGAAAACCACAAAAGGCTATCATTAGAGCACTCCAGCATTTAAATGTGAATAAAAATTTTGTGTCTTGTACCATCGCTTGTTACCATGCTACTGGTAGCGTAGCCCGACGTCAAGGCAGTGGATGGAAGAAAACAGCAACATCAGCAGAAATGGTTCAAAAAGTAAAGAAGCGACTTGATCGAAACCCGCGTCGCAGTGGCCGAAAAATGGTTCTTGAGCTAAATATATCCATTTGGCAAATATTGAAACATGAGCTCGGGATAAAGCCATTGAAATTCCAAAAAGTGCAAGAACTTACACCGCAACAGATAGAAAATAGGCTCAAAAGAGCTAAAGAGTTGCTTTGCTTGGCCTAAAGTGGTGAACTGTCGAATTTTCGTTCTCCAGCAGTTTGTAAACAAACAAAATGATCGTGTTTACATGCCAAAGAGGTCAGCTGAAAATGTGCACCTTCGGTTGGTAACCAGAACTCAAGCGCCGGTCATGGTGATGTTGTGGACCGTCATAACAGCCGATGGTCGCTCTCCGCTCGTATTAATCGACCGTGGCATCAGCATAAATATTATCGCGAAAATATTCTGGAGGGTGTATTAAAGCCTTGGGCACGCAAACATTTGCCCGCGCACCTTGGACATTCCAACAGGACTCAGCATCATCGCACTCAGCACGCGCCACCCAAGTATGGTTACAAAATAAGGTTCCTTGCTTCATTTCCAGCGCACAATGGCCACCAAAATCTCCGGATACCAGTCCGTTGGACTATTGTGTCTGAAGTATTTTGGAAAGCAAGGTTGGCACTACAAAATACCAAAGTGTCGATCACCTCAAGCAAGCGCTTCGCCGGGAATGGACCAAAATACCGCAGAGCAAGATTCGCAGCGTGTTTCATTGGCCGTTTGAAGGCCATAATTCGTGCCAAATGTGACCAATTCGAATAAATCTAAACTTATTCTAAAATTTGATGCTAATTCCGACATTTTTTGCTTTCATTCAATAAAATTTAAAAAATGTAAAAATTATGGCGTTTGACTTAGTTGCAGTTTTTTTACCTCAAAATCTGAACCGATCTTGATAAAAATAGGCAGAGGGGTTTCTGAGCTGTATCTGATTTCTGGTATGAAATATCATTCATGTGGAGTTCATATTACGAATGTGAGATACTCAAAGAGCAAATCGGATGAAACATATATATGGAAGCTAAAGCTAAATCTGAATCGATTTTCTCGAAATTTTATATACTTGCTTTTGGACTGAGTTCAATTGGTTGTACCAAAATAAAGGTCGTGTGGACTTATATTAGCCATTTGACGCACAATTAACCTGACATCGGTTGAAGATATATGCAAGCTGATCCAATTTCAATAGGGTTCGTCCTTGGGCCAAACAAATATTGTTTACAAAATTTCATCTCAATCGGATAATACTGCGACCTGCATTTTTTCACAAGAATACATAGACGGACGGACGGACTGACATGCATAAATCGACTCCGAAGGTGATTCTATGAAGATCCTCAAAAGTAACTATCGGTCTATCTCGCTTCCTTCTCCATCTTACAAACAAATGCACCCCTATGTGGTATGGGGTATAAAAACGATATTTTTATTATTTTAAGGACTCAATGTTCTGTTGGACCCTTGATAGAAAAGGTATTTTTAACATAGATGAGGACATTCACACACAGAAGATGTTTTCTTCTTAAAAGACAGGCCCTCTCCATATAGAAGATCTTTCCTTTTTATAATCATTATTTATTTATATATATTTTTATTTTAAATAATTATATAATTACTTACTTAATAATTTTATTCATACATTAATTTATACCGCCAAGAGAAGAGATAATATAAAAAAGACGATCACAGACTCTCCTCTGCTGTTTGTGGGAATATCCCTCTTTTTGCGGAAAGGGAATTCGCGAAAGTATCTTTTTAGTGATCGCATTTCTAATGGGATAGGAAAGTGATCGAGATATGAAGTTTTTCTTTTTGTGTTTTTGATAAGATTTTTTTGGGAGGGGGGTTTTGGGTTTTCCACGAATGGAAACTTAGAGTAAATATTCTTAAGAGTAATATTAATTCACAAGTATATTTTGTCACAATTGATGGGATGTGACCAACCGTTTCATCAGAGAGGAGACTAACCGTCCGGCAGCTACAACATTTCAATAGCTATTTGTACAAAGTACATTTGAAAAAAGCATATGCGAATTATAACCATTCAAATACAAGTTGTCAGTAATGACAAACGACCAAAAAAAAAGTAGGTAATTAGAAAAAAACAACAACAGCAAATGGCAAGCATAGCTACACAAAAATTTCTCAACCCCATTTGCTTGGTCAAGCGATCCATTGTTTTGTGTGTGTTTTTTGTTGTATCTCTATTTCATAGCTCAGGGCATTTCAATCCAGTCACTGTTCTTCATGTACATGACGCGTTATGACGTACCTTTCAAACTGTGGCTTCGTCAAGTTTGGAGTGTATGTATTAAAACGGGTTTCAGGAAAAGCTGTTTTAAGATAAGCTAAATAAACACCCCAAAACTTGAAAAAATGATCGTCAATAAACATGGGAATTAATTTCTTTACCCTCCACCATAAGTTGCATTTTTAAATTTACAATAATACTGTACAACACAAAAAATAACTAGTATTTTATTAAAGAAGAACTAAAAATAAAAAACACATGAATCGACGATTTGAAAGTTTACATTGCTAAGTAATCTAAATAGAGGGCGAAAATTGTGGTAGAGGGGTAAAATCTACCATTTATTTGAAATAAAATTCTACTATGGGTCGTAGAAGACGTCGAAAGTCTAAATCTAAATAAATATAACCGACTGAACCGACGGCTGAAGCAAGAATCTTGAAATTTTGCACTAGGGTCACTCTTGGAGCCTAGGCAGGTGATAAGACAGGGTTTTGGAAATTCGTACTAAAAGGGTTCGAACTATCATTTGATACTGCCAAAATGTACCTCACTCAAATAACGGTTTTAGACCCTAGGTCTCTTTGGACCAAATCCGTTTCAGGACATTTGGAATCGATCTATCGATGTCCGTCCGTCCGTCTGGCTAGCTGGTGCGCACGATAACTCTCGAAGGGAGTATCTGATTTGGTCCAAACTGGGTACATCGTAATATTTTTGTCAAACTTAGATCGAGCTCGGAGATGGTCAATATCGGTCCACTCCTTCTGGTACCTCTCCCACAAAATGTTATAATTTTCAAAGAAAATAATTTACTGCACAGAAATAGAAAGGTTAATTCGATTTTGATCAAACTTTGCAAATCCAAATATTTGCATCAGTTCTAGGTCAGGTGCGAAAATGGACAATATCGGTCCACTCTATCAAGTACATCTTGCACAAAGGGTTTAAATTTTGAATAATTACAACTTTTATAATGTGTGATGTAAGAGTCTGATTGTCTTCAAATTTCACACATTCCAATATTTTTATTAACCCAAGGTCTGGTGTGAAGATGGAATATATCGGTCTACTCCTTCTGGTACCACCCCACAAGAGGATTTTCTGCACAGGAAGAGGAACGATAATCCGATTTTGCTCCAACTTTGCAAATCCTAATATTTGCCTCAGTGCTAGGTTTGGTGAGAAATTTGACAATATCGGTCCGGTATTTTGACCCATTCGATCGTGATCGACACTGGAAATGAATGAAGCGAGGGACCTCATTTTATAACGACCCTTGGGTGGTGCGTGCTGAGTGCGATGTCCTGTTGGAATGTCCAAGGTCTGGTGCCTTGCCTTCCAGAATATTTTCGCGATAATATTCGGCATTTATTCTGATGCCACGGTCGATTAATACGAGCGGAGAGCGACCTTAGGTTGTTATGGCGGCCCACACCATCAACACTTTGAATAATCATAACTCAAGGGTGGTGGTACACACCTGTCGGAAAAATCGACTGATACTATTTTACTTGTTTTTTTTTTAATTCGTTTCACATCCGAACTTTCGATTCTGTTGCAAAATATTTTGCATCTCGTATTAGAGCTACAAAATATTGACCCATGCTCTGTTCCAGGACCTGCTAGTAATTACTAGTTTTGCATTATTTGTTATCTCAAATTCTGGACTGTAAGGAAGCCAGTGTCCGTATTTTATGGCAACCAACAACGCCGCGAAAAAGCTTCTCATATATGCCATTATTACCGTCAAAGTAACTGGCTCTCTTTTCGTGTAACACACAACAGCGCATTTAAAAAAAAATGTTCCCAACTTCAGCCGGCTAATGCCGAAAAAATATGCATGGCAACCGTCTAAAATAAACAAAAATTAATAAATGCCAATATTTAGCCAATGCTACTTGGCAACCATTCAATCAAAACTTCAAACATCGGCTAATAGGAAAAACACAACAAACTTGCCAACCAACCGGTACTACACGTCATTCAACTTCACCGAAAAAGCAATTGTTTTCCTCTTTTTATTTTCCTTTTGCAAATATTAACAATAAATTCTTAAAAGCATTGTGAAAATAACCCGTATATCCCTTCGTCGTCCGCTGATAATACGTTATACATTAACAAATTGAAGAGAAAATTGGCCGATTTAAGTCCGACACACAACACCAAAAGAAGTTATTCACACCATTTTACCAAACAAATCCCTTTAAACGACTTGCAACCCGGGGTCAGCCGGACACACTGACATACATACATTCATATCCTGCTCTTGGACAATTGGAGAATCAACCAAGCAGGCGATACACACAGAACACACTGTGATCTGTTAAAAAGATTCCAAACGAAATCACAATAAACTTGACCAGCAGTACAAGGCAACGGCCAGAGTTCAGCAGAGGAGCGGGATAAGCAACAGCAGCAGCAGCAAAAATGGTAAGTGACAAAAAGATTAATGCGCTTTAAGCAAACAGGCAATTTGTTTAAAAATGTTTATCCGGATAAACAAAAAAATCCAAAAAATACAACGAGAAGAAGAGCCAAACTGTGTTGAACTCTGCATATTGCATGCAATGGAACCCAAAAGTGAATGGGAGCGAGAAGAGATGACGATAGTGGTGGTAGTGGCAGCAGTAAACGAACACTGACTACAATGATAAAGATGACGACCATAAATGATTAACTCCTTTTAAAAAGTTTTCATTTCTGCCGAAGTACATCACAGAGTCTCCACATTTCGTGAAATGGAAGGATGCATTAAGTAGATATGTATGTTTGTATGGAGTACAGACTTCCATCGTATTGGATAATGGACAAAAATGCATTGTCACTTTGTCTTTGTTATGGCCAATTACTTATCTGGGCAGAATATAATTGTTAACGTTTGGAAAATAATTATTTAACAAAAGGTCCGAGAGGATTGCAAATTCAAGTGTGAGTAAAGGGTAAGACCGAGGATTATAAAGAAATGCTTAAAAATTCAACCAGCAATCGAAATATCAAATGTCATAATGTTATTTTCATTCCATCACCCAATATCACATATAATAACATTTAGTACTTTTCGTACATTTACAGTACACATTTCCGAAATCACCTCCATATCTCCAAGCTACACATTTCAAGAACTATGTTCTCCCAAATCCAAATTGTATCAAATATGGTCCTTTTCGTGCACTTGTGGCATATATTTCTAAAACAACCTTTTCATAACATTTCTGCCACGAACATAGACGCCATTACAACTTTTCCAAATACCAGCTTCATTCGTTCACCAATTTAGTACCATTAAGTACAGTTCCCACACTTAGTACACATTTCCAAAACCACCTTCATATATTAAACTTACTTTCTAACCTCCATTCTCATACCAAATTTCAAGTTTTTGCTTCTATCCGTAGACATATTGCCAAATAGTAAGATTTTAAAACTTTTCGCAACCTAAAAGTTCAAATTTCCAAAAACCTTTTAGCACATCTATCCTGCACTCCATCAGTAACTCTGATTAAAAATTTCACAATTCTAGCTCATACCTTTTGCCCAATGCAAAGGATTCAATTTTCAGTAAATTTTATAACTTTTCGTACCCCTTTAGTACAAATAAAACTTACACTCTACAGGGTAGGATAAAAAAAAACTGCAAAAAAGGTCAAACCCCATAATTTTTATATTTCCTTTTAAATTTTATTGAATATAAGCAAAAAATGTCGGAAATAGAATCACATTTTAGAATAAGTTTAGATTTGTTCGAATTGGTCACCTTTGGCACGAATGTTGCTCTGCGGTATTTTGGCCCATTCCCGGCGAAGCACTTGCATGAGGTGATCGACATTTTGGTATTTTTTTAGTACCAACCTTGCTTTCCAAAATAAATATTCCAGACAAAATAGTCCAACGAATTGGTATCCGGAGATTTTGGTAGTCATTGTGCGCTCAAAATGAAGCGAGGAACCTCATTTTGTAACCATTCGGGCGCGGGCTGAGTGCGATGGTGCTGAGTCCTGTTGGAATATCAAAGGTTTGCGGCCAAAATGTTTGTGTGCCTAAGGCTTTAATACACCCTCCAGAATATTTTCGCGATAATATTCGACATTTATTCTGATGCCATGGTCGATTAATACGAGCAGAGAGCCACCATCGGCTATTATGGTGGCCCACACCATCACCATGGCCGGCGCTTGAGTTCTGGAGGCCAACCGAAGGTGCACATTTTCAGCTAACCTCTTTGGCAAGTAAACACGATCATTTTGTTTGTTTACAAACTGTTTGAGAACGAATATTTTTCCATCGAGAAAACCAAATTCGGTAGTTCCCCACTTTCGGCCGAGCGAAGCAACTCTTTAGCTCTTTAGGGTCTATTTTCTTTCCGTTGCGGTGTAAGATCTTGCACTTTTTGGAATTTCAATGACTTTACCCCGAGCTCTTTTTTCAATATTTACCGAATGGAATATTGCGATATTTTCAGCTTACGAGCCATTTTTCGGCCACTTTCAAGTCAATCCTTTACTTTTCGAACCATTTCTGCTGACGTTGCTGTTTTCTTCCGTCCACTTCCTTAACGTCGGGCTATACTGTCAGTATCACGGTAACGAGCGATGGTACGAGACACAAAAGACTTTTTGACATCAAAATGTTGGATAGCCACTTCTGGTTTTCCAGCCAAATATAGAGAAATCACACTATCACGCTTGAATTTCATCACGAATAACTTTTTTTCGGGAAAATTCTCACCAAAATGATTTTGTAGCTTGTAAACAATATAATGAGCTGTCACTCGGACGAGTGGCTTAGGAAAAGTCTGAAGTTGGTTGCAGTTTTTACATCTTACACTGTATTCTTGATTAGCATAAAATTCTATATCGATTTAGCGATGTCCGTCCGTCTGTTCGTCTTTGGAAATCACTCTATCTTCCGAACGAAGTGAAGTAGGTTGATACAATTCTACTCAAATTTATATTATGCCTGCAGACATACAGACATTTGGTATTGAAAATGGACCATGTAGATCCACGTTTTGGTATAACACCCACATAATAGTACCTCCCAAGGTACAATAAAAAGGTAAGGCAGAGCTACCAGCTGATTACAATTTTTTTTCTGAGGAGGAGTTTTCTGTATGTATCAAATGTTTTGAAAAATAAAAACAGAATATTTTCAATATAAATGATTGGAAGACGCGCATTAGAGCTGTTCTCCAGTTTTGCCATGAAATTGAAATATAGAACTGCTTAGATCATATTTTCAGACATTTCATTCATTTTTCCCGCTGTTTAACTTGTGGAATGCAAACTTGACAGGAAGCGGGCATAGCCTCAGGGCTGTATTTCTGTAGTTTTACGAAATTGTTCTACCTCCTTATTGTACCATGGTACTTCCCTATTTTCAGTATTTTGGTAATTTAAGGGATATTATGAATGGGGAATGTTTCAAATTTGGTATTTGAAGTTCGTAATGCAAACTACAGCCTATGACCGAAAGTTGTCCATGCAGGTCTACGCCTTCGTATAGCCCCCCTATAACGGCACCACCTGATATTCGATATTCTGATGATTTTAACGACATTGTTCAGCGGAATTATTTCAAATTTGGTGTTTGAAGTTCGTAATGGATACTACAGCCCAAGACAGAAAATTGTCTGTGCAGGTTACGTCTTCGTATAGCCCCATATAACGGTACCTCCCGATATTCGGAATTTTGATGATTTTAGCTACATTATTCGCCATTTTTTTTAAGTTTCGCATTTGAATATTGTAATGGCTTATGACAAAAGTTACCTATGTAGGTCCATGTCGTCGTATAGACACAAATATAAGGGCTATATTCGGTATTTTTAAGATTTTAGCAGAATATTTAACGGATTTTATTGTTTTTGAGAATTCCCAAATTCGTTCCAAATAGTGGAGGGTATTCAAAGTTCGGCCCGACCGAACTTACAGCCCTTTTCTTGTTTAGTTCTATCAATCTGGTCGAACATTTTAATTTTGCCCCAAGGAACATGGAGCAATATTTAAACAACATTTTTAAAGAAACCTATGTCATGTTCGAAGACTATATGGGAAAATACCTTATGGGATCTCACCTTGAAATGTTTAATATTTTGAAAGACTTGTTTGCTCCTTCTGGTATCTTTCCTTCGATCAATACAAATTCCAATATTTCTATAAACAATAAATTCTGAGTGAAGATGAAGGAAGAAGTCCACAAGCACTGGCAAATCCAAAAAAAAAAAAAAATTCAGCATTTTCATAAAAATGTCATACTCTTGAATATTCTTTCGATACTGATTTACCTTAAGGTAATCTATTGACCGAAATCCGTAAAATATAACTTTCATAAAAGGCATTCACGATGTCAAAATTCATATTTTTCTAAAAGTTTATGTTCTATATGTTCCCTATTACGTCAGATGGGTAACCGTCCGACGATCATTAAACCTAATGAACAATGAAATGTACGTAGTACGTACATACATATCTGTTCTGAGTCTTCTCTGTTTTTCATTTAAACTCATGCCCATAGCATTCACCACAAAGCTTTTGATCAATTCGTCGATGGTATTGTTGGTGTAACTCAACCAACACGATATGTACGTGTGGATGAAATATGTTCAGTTGAAAGCAACAAACCAGTGGTGAAAATGAAAGCCATTGAAAACAAGTGTCGTCTTCACTGGAACATCATATGGGCCTGTTATTAACATCAGATGTAAGCATCGGTGGTTCAGTGGTAGAATGCTCGCCTGCCACGCGGGCGGCCCGGGTTCGATTCCCGGCCGATGCAGAAAACATTTTTTTTTTTTTTTCAATTTGTTTTATTTTAACAAAACAGAAATAAATCTTGTAGTTTTCAACGTTGTGAATTTAATTGAAAAAAATTAAACAGAGAAAATAGTTAAATGGATGTTTTGTATGACTAATTATATATTACGTAGATGCTTCCGAATTATGAATTATAAATTATTTAATACCTATATGAATATAAATAATTTTTTTGTTTTTAATAAATTTGATGAAAGTCTATAATTTAAATAATTTTAATGTTCATATTCGGGCTACCTATATATGTAATGTATAATAATTAAGAAAAAAATGCAAAAAAAAAATCATCGCCCGAGCAGGGACTTGAACCCTGGACCCTTGGATTAAAAGTCCAATGCTCTACCGACTGAGCTACCCGGGCCTCGTATCCGAACGTAGCTGTTATATGTGCTTTTTATTAAAGATGAAAAAAATGTAAAGTTCTAAAAACTATAAAAAAACCTGTTAAAAATATCAGTCAATTTTTCCCACAGTGACCGTTTATTGTAGTGAAATTGCTGGCTGACTGACCAGACGATAGAACCGAACCTAGAATCTTGAAATTTTGCACGAACGTCAGTCTTGGTGCGGATGGGTTTTTTGAAATCCGTACTAAAAGGTTACGAAAAGTACTAAAAA